AGCCATTTTCAAATTCTGTACCGCAAAAAAATAGTTCTTGTTTAGTTATATTTTGGGCGTGTTACATTTAGAGTTAGTTGGAGTTGGAGTTGAAGTTGGAGATGGAATTACGGTTAAGAGCGATTAGGTTAAGTTTTGATATTTTGTATATTAAGGTTCTCGACGTTTTATAAATGTGGCAAGATGCTTGTAAAAGATCTTGTCGGCATAAACTATGGATTTATAGGATAGGTATTGTTATTTATGATATCGCGCGTGACGATTATTGTGGACTATTGTGGATTATTTGACATGTTTTAGAGGACAGTGCTTGAGAAAGACTGTGCCTGAGATTAAGAGAACGAATCGACATTACGGGACAACCGTAGAGAAACATTATATTTATAGAACCTTATTCGCGGAAAGATTGTTTGATCTGAAGAAAGACGTTTGAACATTATCATTGTGTCTATTTGTTTCAGTTCTCATGGATGGAAGGACCATTTAGTCTCGACGATAATGATAGGGTGGATACATTCTTTTGGCGAATAACCCTATTACACGTGTACGATCAATTTTGATGTTCCTAGCCAAATATTACAAGCAAACAATTGCTTTGTTACCCTGCCCCTGCCCCCTGGCCACTACAAGGGTCGTTGCTATGGGGGGCGTGACACCCCCTTTGGCAAATAGTTTCACTATAAAAACGAGGAGTTTTATACTACTTGGGACTGGATCGTCGGCAATTTTTCGGATTTTTCGGCAAATAAAAATGGCTCACCAATATTGTCAGCAAATGGGCTTCGAGTACCCCTCTTGAGCCACTACAAACCTGGTCCCACGCCGTACATTCCAATTTCTCATTTGTATGTCATTTGTATCGATTTCAATCGAAGACATTATTACGCTCATAAAATTGAATCATAAAAACGTTGTACATGCTGTAATTTTTTAGTCATTTGCAATGAAATGGACCACTTATTGGCAATTTATTAACTGATGAAAATAACATATACCGTATTTTCTTGAATAGAAGCCGCCCCTGAATAGAAGCCGCATTTTGATTAGAAGCCGCACGAATTTCGTAAAAACAAAAAATAGAAGCCGCATTTTTTCCTACTGAAGTTAACAGAAGCCGCACGAATTTCGTAAAAACAAAAAATAGAATTTCCCTTCTTCAATACGCCACTACCTCTGAATCAATTTTATCAAATAAACTCTCCTCTTGAATAACTTGTAATAATGCATATTTCGCACCTTGTGTTGTTTATAATTCTTTTTGCTGCAGTGACGTGCTGGCAATGCCCCCCCCCCCTCCCTGCTGATCAAATATCAGGGGCGCCAAAATGGATTTTCGACTTAAAGGGGCACCGTAGGCGCCCTAGCCAAATAGCTAACAAACGAGGGCAATATACAGAAAAGAATCAAACGATAATAAAGGCAGACACTGTATAACAATCCACGAAAAAACCTTGCAACATACCACCTCTTCTTTTTTACAAACTTTGATGCGCTTAGCAACGATCGTCAAACACCATCTCAAGATCCCACGCTAAATCTAAATGATTTTTGCACAAAATAGAGACCAGGGGCGTACCATAGGTAAGAAGTTTGGATTAGGCACCATTTCACAAAATTTTTGGGAGGGTGCAAGGAGTTTTGATTCACTGAAATGACAAGAAAAATGATAGGAAGACAACGTAGCGATGAGAAAGCTGGCGTTATTGAAAATTGCTTCAAAAAAATGTAATTACCAGTAAACTAGAAGCATCAAAAATCGAAGGTTTTTTTTCTTCGGGGGCAACCATGGTGTCGCCTCGGACAGTATAGTTATATAATGGGCTTGTTCCGATATATAGATCTAAAGGGTTGGAAGTTCTGATATAATTTTGTAAATAGATGTTGTGAATCGACACAATGTATTGCGCGCAGGATGGTGTCAGCAACTTAAGAATTTCAGGTAATTCTTTTCTATCAGGAAAATTCGTAGTAAACCGTCCTCTCAGTAAATGATTACCCCTATATCCCCTCATTTAAAGATCTTTCAGTGCGCCACAGATAGATAGATATATATCTGCTTCCTCCCGAGCTTCAGGGGCGTTGTGGCTCCTAGAAAAGGGCCGGGAGAAAATCATCATAAATAAAAGGGGCCCGCCATTTTGTATGCCATCTCCAATCACAAACCACAGGTCGCCAAAAAAGGGTACATCTGTACCTGGAAGCCATGCACTTAACAACAATTAAAAAGATGTCAGTTTTAATCCTTTTTAAAGGGTCATTTGCTATATTTGTTGGGGGTTTACCCTTTTTCACTTAACCATAGTCTGTTAAGACTGCAAAAGAATGTGTAACAAATCCAGTGCTATTGTGCACAACTGATAGAAACACAGACACGACAGAAAATTTTTGCGGCCACACCCTTTAAATTAGCTTGAAATACATTTCAGAATGTTTTTGAAGTCATTTACCACGTTTTACAATTTTTAGGCATACTTTGTTGCGTTTCGTTAAAATGCAGTTCTTAAATTGGAATTCCTTGCTTTAAGAGGCCCCCTAGAGCTCGAAACCCTGGGGCAGTTTGCCCCTCTTTGTCCCCTTCTCCACGACCCTGTTCATATTCCACGCATCTTTTTCACAGGGGCCTGTTTGTCTTGGGTTTTACAAACGTAGTTGAATGGGGCTCACCGGGAAATTTCCCGGTGTCCCGCCTAGCCACAACGCCCCTGCCGAGCTTTTGTACTTTTCTGCACATTTCCAAAACTTGGAAGGAAAATTTGAAGTTGGATAAATGAGGGGCGACATTTTGACTCTTTGTCCCCCTGCGATCTCATCCGCAGCACGCCACTGTTTTGCTGTTTTTAATTAGTCTCTCGCGTTTTAACCTTTCGGAAAGATGGTTTTCTTTTATCTATTGTAAATTCTAGTGGGCTAGTTCCCACATGTGAGGTCATACTCGCAAGTATTTACACGAGGACGCGATTTATCCAACTTAGGTGGGATGGCCTCTTATTTGAAAATTGTAAATGAGGTTCTTTTAGTTTTTGGCGCCACAATAATGAATATCAGTCCTCAACAACAGCAAACAACATTTGGATTCCTTTTCTGACCGTTAAATTATACGATATGCTCGGATTCGTACTTCAGTTACACGTACTTCTGATTTTGTGTTCAATCTATCAAAAGTATGCGATCGACAAGCTCGTGTCATTTCAATCCTATGTTCCAATTGAGGAAACGTAATCCTCTATATTTCTGGCCTTTCTGTACGATTCTGCTACTGTTTTAGCAGAACAGCCAAAACTGTTGCTGCCGATTTATACAACATTATGATTTGGGGGATTTGCTTTAGTTTGGCGCTAACTTCCTTTACGCAAGCGCATTGGCTTTCAGTGAGTGGGCTAGCCCACCTGATTGCGTTTACATGGATAATTTCCATCCCACCTGACGCGGATCCCACCTGAGCGGGCTGGCCCACTCTCCATGTAAACGCACATACAGAGAACCACGGATCCCACTTAAGTGGGCTAGCCCACTTCATGTAAACAGGAATTTAGAAATGGTTCTCGGTGTTCAAATAATGTTGTGAGAAACTTGGAAAAGATTATTTGAACATGAATTAAAGTCTTTTGAAATTACGCTTTGGATACAAGGAGACCTCTAGTTATATGCAGGATAAGCTATCGTGTAAATCAGCGTTTACACGCAAAGAGGCCACCCCCTCGAATAAGACCTCCCTTTAGGAACAATTTAATCCTAAATTATCCGATGTTAATCTCGCTGCACCATCTGAATATCTTTTTGATTGACGATGAGATTGACCAAGACAGTTGATAACCAAATTTATCATTTGCACGAGATTGAGATAAGGTTTAATGTTGCCATAGCGAAGATGGCTTTCAAAGAGAGTTTTGTAAACTTGATCAAGTTTTCTTTGCGGAAGCATGTACATAATATCTACTACATAATTGAATAAACCCCTCTCCTTCGAATAAGCCTCTCCTTCGAATAAGCCTCCCCAGCAAATAAGCCCAATCCAGAAATTAATTTTTCCAAATAAATTAAGCACCTTATCTGAGGATTTTATCTTTCTACCCAGCCTTTTATAGTGTTCTATGTCGTATAGGCAGAGCTGTACATGTTTTCGGTGTACAGAACGTTGCCTAAAGCATGAAATTTGGAGTATCACGGCAAGAATATACGTTACATTAGAAATAGCTCGATGGTTTATAGGGTTGGTCAACAACCAACAAGGTCTCGTTTTGAGCATAAACTGCACACATCAGAACGAGACCATAAACATTAAAAAAACATCTTTTCTAACATTTTTTCCTACTCTTATTCGGTAAATGTCTGTTTCTAGTAAACATTCGGTAAATCTTTAACTAAAATATCATCATTTCTTCGAACAATTTGACTTAGCTAACCACTCAACGGTTGACTTCCAAGGACATCAAGACACTACCAAACTCAGTTCCTTGGGATAACGAGTAACTTTTAGCTTGAAACCTCTTTATCCTGACGAACTTAGCAATTATTCACAATTTCTACAGCATGTTCTTTTTCACAATTCTAAAATGCGACACCCCGGTTGAAAAAAATTTTATTGGTTGAAAAAAATGAGGAGCTTTTTACCATCTAATCGGGGTGCTTGATCGGCAAAAAACTCGTCAAATTTTCAGATTTTTCGGCAAGCAAAGGAGGGTTCACGAACTTTGTCGAAAAATGGGATCGGAGCAGCCCCCTTAAGCACAATAGCGACGGCCCTGCATTCGAGTATATGCTCAAAGCGTCGTGTTCTTCACAATCTTTTCCATTTTTGGTACTTGAATTATTTGCTCATAATTTTTCCATTATTTGGAGGAAGCACCAGACATTACTGATAGATCTTATCTAGGTTGAAGCTCCTTCATTAAAGCCCTTTTATCAAATTTTGGACTTCGCGGTGATCCCACCATTTACTTTAACCCCTAGTTGGTCACCCTTGAAACTAGCACAGGTTGTTAAAGAAAATAGGGCCAAAATAGGTGGAGACAAAAATATCCTGTTTCTTTCAATTTTTTAAACGCAACCGCTTTTATATAAGTCTGAAAGTACCTAATAACAAGTTCTAACGATAAAATCCTTGCTTCGAACTTTTAAGGTAAATTTGTAGATAAGGGAAATGAGGTATTTGACCTGAAAAAAGTTCATTATCGCCAAGTTATGCTTTCTGTGAGTAAATTTGCAAGCAAGCTTGTCGGAAAAAGCATTTGAAAAGGCTATAATCCTAAAAATTTAGCTCTAACCGCTCTTTGATAAGTACGTAATGGCGTTTGACACGCATAAAAAAAACAAAATGCCACAAAGACAAAAAACGATCTCTAAGAGCATCTTTTTATTCGTTTAAGCCGTCTGAGATAGATAGACTGGTATGTCTGAGATAGAAAGGCTGTCAAACCTTTAAAAGCTGACACTAAATCAGATTTTGATGTAGAGATTCCGAATTTTGCTATTACCAATTGAAATCTAAAAGGGAATTTCAATTTTTGATGACGTCATAAAATGTCAACTCGCAACACGTGTTACACTCCTCCTACCTTATATTTCGAGCAAAAGCCAACAATATAGATTTCTGAATAGAGGACATCAAGACCTTTCAAATGACATATAGCAAGATAATTTTAGCCACTTTTCAATTTTTGTGATGACGTCATCATCTCGAATTGTCGTGTTTCATTGAGAAGTACAAATAATGATGTAGTTTGTAGTCGAAATTTCATTGAAATGAGTAACCAGTATATGTAACAAAGTGCTTGGCAATCTTCATTGTCCAGCTTTCGAAAATTGAGCTTCCGCTTGAGGTTTCAATTGGTAATAGCAAAATTCGGAATCTACATTAAAATCTGAACTAGAATCAGCTTTTAAAAGTTTGACAGCCTTTAGAATTAGATTGTTACGGTATGGTACCAGTCTAAGATAACAGGCTAGCTTCATATGAACTAAGGTATTCGTAATTAACAAATGTAAGAAACGGAATGCCAAAATTTCAGCGATAACCTATATAAGCCTGTTTATGCAAATGCGCAATTTTTGATGCAATTCCAGTGGTACGTGGTACACCACTATCACGTTAAAGACTTAACAATTTTCAAAAGGCTTGAAATAAGTCTGTCTGGATCAAACAAGCAAATCCTGTATTTCACATGATGTCCATTCAAAACAACGTGAGGGTAATATTTCTTGGTTTGGTCATGTGATTTAAGTTGGTGAGCAAACGTTACATTGTTGGTTAGTTCGTTACCCCTGCAAGAGTATTATCTGCATAGTAAGCTAAATTATTTATAAAAACATTTTTTTTAAAAAAGTGGCTTGTTGGTACACCATATTCTCATCCTGCTCGTTGCTATCAAAATCAGTTTTCGTGCCCTCTCTTATCCGGTTTCTAATCAGTTTCTGTGCACATCTGTGGGTATTTCTCAAAGGAAACAACAAAAATTCGGTAATTCGTTTCCCTGAATAACTTATTGTGAATTTCCCTCTGGTTATTTCTCCTTAGTAGCTGAATTTGTTCCAATTTTATGTGACGCTAATTCTATAACTGCAAAGATAATTGTAACTCCGAGGTAACGTGCAAACAGTCCATTAAAGATGTCACCTGATGTCACGAATAATTTCATCCAAAATATCCATATGCTGTAAACCCAACGAGAAACCAAAACAGAACTGCACAACTAGGCCCATGCATCGATTAGATCTTGACGGTAAAGACTACCGGTTTCGTAGAGGGTGATTTTGGTGGCAGTACGGGGGAACCTCGAGGTGGCCTGAAAGACATTGAAACGTCAATAAGTGGGTTTTGCATCACTCCATTCATTAGGCTAAAGTACAAGAAAAGGGTTTAACTGGTATAACGCTTGATAATTGGAGAAAATCAACACGAGAGAAGAGGGGAAAGAATGAATTTACAAAGTATGCAGTTCATATTCCTTTGTTCATGTCTTTTGCACTATTAGTTGACTTCTCCTTGAAACCTTGGGTGACTCCATTTTCTGTTCTGATTTCTTTTCGTGATAGTTCGTGATTTCTTTTTTACAGATTATCTTTGTCTTCTTTGAATATAATATTTTTGTGTGATATTTTTGTTCCTTCTTATCTAAATCGACGAGCCTCTCCCAAACCCGCATTATCTTCAAGAAAAGGACCATGTTGCCAGCAAATTTAAGTTCGGCTACAATCTATGCTTGTTGCTAATTCCATGATTTGAGGCCCAGTCGTTGTGATAATGGTCTGTCGCGCAGAGTAGCGAAATTCCAGTCTTGTGAGAACGTATTATCTAACAACTTATTTTTTCAATTTAATCCGTGGATATTCTGTTCTTATTTAGAGGCTCATTTTGCTTAGGTGTTCTTTAATATGATTCTCGTAAGAACACCATTAAGCCCACCAAGGGAGCTCTAGTATAACTAACAAGGTTTCAGACAATCTAAAAAGATGTAAGAGCTTCCAAGAAGAGGTACCTTGGAAAAAAATTCATGTTTGCTTTTGTGTGTTTTGTCCCTATAAATTTATTAAAAATACCTTATTCTAGCTGCTTCTTAAGTCTAATAAAATAGCTTTGAAAAAAGCAAACATTTTGTGTCATACTAAAGTTTTTCGTCTGACACTCTTCAGAGCATAAAACGTCGGAACATAGATCGAAAACTCTAAGATTGGAAATAGATATACCCAGTGGTCGATCGAACGCGGGCACATGACTGTTGAGGTTGACCAATCAGTGTCGCTTGTCTTTAGAAAATGTTAATCTGTAACATGTCGCCATTATAATTTTGCACAGTTTTGTACAAATCTCTCCCTCAAAGAGAACAGCCTGCTTGGTGAAATAACAACTTTGACATGTGGCTTATACAGAAGGCTGAAAAACAGGATTTGAATAGAGGAACACGTGAGATCCGGGGATTATTGTATGAAGGTCAGACATGCATATTTCAATTCACGAGGACTTTGACTTTGGAGTCACCTTTGATTTTGGATTTATTCGGGTTGAATTCCCTTATTCTAAGTATCTGTCAATGAAACTGGAATCTGAAAACCTTGTACATAACTGAATTCGCTGATCTTGGCTTCCATCGTCTTATTGTCAGCGTTGTTATCTGGCCTTCGAATCTTCTCTCTATTATCAAAATAGCACTCATATATTTGACACTTGACAATCTAGTTGGCTTTTTACAGCTTCGAGCTTCTTTACAGCCCAGTTTTCTAACTTCCATGAAAGTATTGTCTTGCGCTCAATTTGGATATTCTTTCTTTTTCTAATACCTTCTAATTTCTCAACCCGATAGCCACTAACTACCCAGACTACACCCAGAGGTGGCGCCAGAAATCTTCCGACAGAGGGGTTGAGCTTCCGACAAGTGGGGCTAAAATTACTAAAATATGCAATTTTTCGCATGTTATTTTATCAAAGTTTCCTCCGATGGGGGGGGGGCTAGGTGCTTCCGACGGAGGGGCTCTAGCCCCCCTAGCCCCCCTCTGGCGCCACCACTGATGACACCTTTTAAATACAAAACTAGGGTCTATTTTCAACTTAAGGACTTATATTGCAAAACTTTCCAAAAGGCGGACACTTCCAATTAGCGGACACCTTGCTCTGGCCCTGACGGTGTCCGCTAATTGAAGAGAATACTGTAGTTAAGGATGCTTACCGAGATGTCGGTGGCGAATAAATGGTTTGCTCTGAAGGAGTAATCTTGCAGATCATAGGCTGTCCTGGAAATGAAATTGGAGAACACCTATTTACATTTTAAAGGAAAATGAGACGGTAGCATAAACAGGGTTTGCTGCTATATGCCTCAAAGGCATGTATGGTAGAAAATAAACTTAAAGGCACTTCTGAAAAGTCACATGTTAAATATCGGCATGCTTAAAGCAGCTAGAGGGTTTTCGAATGATAATTTTACGGTTGAATCGAACACTGGCAAGTGGTGTTCGTAATATGAAATTTTAGGAGACTTACGGACTAAAATTATATCCAAAAGAAAGAAAATTTTATCTGTCAGTTGATTCTCAAAACATTTAAATAAGGTTTAAAAAAATTGAGAAAACATTGGCAAAACGCGGACACTACCGAAAGCGTATTTACACAGAGGCTGACCCGTGAACATAAATTTACGCAGGAAAAGTTTAACAGGAACTGTATCATAGCAAACTATGCAGAAATCACGTGAAACCATACGATAAAAGTTTTTACCATGGCTGGTAAGTAATTCTTATCGGAAATTGTTATACTCAGAAAAATTTTCGGCCGAATGAGAGAACTGCATTCAACAGTCCACAAAGTTGTCTAACTTCAAAATTATATTTTCTACCTATAAGATCAATTTTTGAATTTTGCTGGTAAAATGTATTTTTCAGGTTAAATGTTTTCCATCAGTTTTGAATAATCTCTAGGAACCTAACTGCTTCCATACATTTGCAGCTCTGGTTCTTAAAGTGCGTGTTTCGTGATTCACTGCCTTTGAGGTAAGCTATTTTTTTAGAAGCTCTTGAATAATATTATGGAAAAGTATTCAGGTATTGACAAATAGCTGATACACAATCATTGCAAATTTATTTAAAAGTACAACATTTTTTCTGCCACCAGGACACAAAAAACTCTCTGTGTCTCAGACATGCAACAAGAATAATGGAATCTCGTACTTAATACAAAGAGATTTGGAAATAAGACAGAGAATAAATTGTGAAGAACAGATCAAAACAAATTGAAATCAAATTTAGATGCAAGCAATAGCGACAGTTGATGTTACAAAAATGAGATAGGTTTCTCTTAAGTTGTCAGACAGAATCTTGGGCAATATATTTTAAGGTCCAATACTGTTTCCAGCCCTCCATAAACCATAACCCAATCACTGTAATCTGTTTGTTATGATACCAGCAACTAAATAATAAAACTTTGTCAATCAACATAATTGTAAAAATCTTTGTATTAGAACAATGTTCAAAACGTGCTTACCATCAAGATTCCGGCCGTGGTATTTCTTATAAGCAGCTGCTGCATGTTCCGGAGTGCGGTAGATGATTTCTGCTACTCCAGGACGGGTCAGACGGGCATTCTTCAATGGACCCACTGCAGAGAATAATTCCTGAAATAACAAATCAGGTAGATTCATATAAGAGAGTTAAGAGAATTGAAGAGCATTGACTGATGCAAAAAGAAAAGGGTACACCCGAATATGCTGTGTCTTGACCTTCATGCTAATTCATAATATTGAGGTTGAAAAGGGGATATGAAGTTTTTTGTGTCCATGCATAGGACGCAAATTTACCATGATTCAAAGCCTCTAACACAATCTTTTAAGCAGCTCATTTTTCAAAAAACCCTTTTTGATAAAACAGTTTTCATTGTGCATTTAATAAAATGGCTATTTCTTATATCTTTAAGACCCTAAATAAAGTTAATGGGACCAATGAAAAACAAAAACTCGTCTTGAGTTCATGATTATGAATCTTTGAAAAAATGTTTTTATTTTCAAAGCTGGTTAACAAATACATATGCAACTATAAATATGAAAATGATTGGTACTTGAAGAATCAAAATTTCAGATGCATATGATTAGAATTTATCATATGTGAATTTTTGTGGGGAAGAAACAGAATTGAAGAATGTTTTTTCATGTTATCAGAGTTGTGTTGATAACAAAGTGGATGTACCCAAGATAATCATCCATCAAATTGTATCGTCATGACGAAAAGTAGAATTGAAATTGACTTTGTCAGACTATGATGACCATCAAAATATTAGCCAATAGAGTTCAACAACTTTGCAGACAGTGTGGCTCAAGGTGGCTCGAGGAAAAACAGAAAAAGAAAGTCCTTCCTCAAACAGTGTTATACTGTTTAATTCGAAAATTCGGATCTCAGTACATGGAATACAACAGAGACCAGAAACCCTTATAAAATGGAGAATTTACTTACATAAATGTCATCATGTGTAACATTAGGGTGGAGGTTTGAGATTGAAATCTTTGAAGAGTTACTCTGTAATAAAGGAAAGGAAACACATCAATTGTTATTATGAGACAACATTGTTTCAAGGAGGATAACGCCATTCATCAGCCAATGAAATAGGTAGAGGCCAAAGCTGAAGTAAAAGTTAACTCAGTCAATAGAAACTGATCAAAGGGGCATTGTTATGGCTAGATGTCATAACCAATCTGAGGAGAACGTTCCAAAGTAGCAAGTCTGTGCTTTAAACAGAATTAAAAAACACTGAATCATCTGTTATATTAAACTTGTGCAATAAAATGTGAAGCTGTGCAATAAAAACCAAACAGTGAACACAAATTTAAATCTAGGTGCAGATTGAAAATAATGACAGAGAAAGACATGCATGATTGGTTCCTCGTTTTCAATCAATCCTTTAAGAATAACACCTCTAGGCAGAAGTGGAGACCAAGTAAAAAAAGAGCTCTGCATGTCTACCCAAATCAAAGATTTTGCTTTAATATACACAAATTTCAAATTTGTCCAGCAAAATTTCTGGGTTGGGCCACAGACAAAACCTGATATCACACGCTGGCCAGATGGATCATTACGTAACTTGTCAGCAAATTTTGTAGTTACTGTAAATTGATTACATTAAAAATTATATGAAAGTTACAGAAGCTGTTGCAAGATAAAAATTACCAATACAAAATGCTACATTTTCTGTTTGCAAAAAGTTCATTAACATCACACATTTAACAGGTAGTTGGCGTGCGAAACATATCATGTAAATTTGTGGCTTTTACTTGTTCAGCTTCCCGAGAGAAAACACCTGCTTTTAGATTTAAATCGATCTGCCTAATGTTGAGAAAATAGGCCTAATAATGATTAGGTATGACTAATAACAAATTAGAATAATTTTGGTGGGAATGCCACTCCTTAGACACAGGGATGTGCCGATTCGGGGGGTGTGTGGGGTCATACCCCCAATGTCTACAAGCTTCAAGAAAGTTGGCCATGCAGCAGGACCCTTAGCATTATTTAGGAAGTTTGACCAACTTTCAACCTGTAATTCATTCATTTAATCCAGCCATATTTGCCTTTCAATTCTTATAAAATTCTATAGATTAGAGGAAATTCTATAAGCTGAAATAATTATTACCAGGAGCTCGAAAGAAGCTGCAGTTCATTTTTGCAGATCATCCTAAAATTGGCTTCTCGCAAGAAAAAAGAATTCACCCAAAAACGCGAAATCTAGGAATATTAGTTTCTGCAAACTTAATCTCCTACACTTTCATGCCATCATTTGCTCTTACTTGTTATCATTAAATGTGTATTTGATCATCTATTTCATTGTTAATGAATTTTCTATGGAGAAATAGTCAGTCAAAAAAGCAAAGTTGGTCACTTTTTTTCTGAACAAAATTGTCTAGGCACATCACTGCTCAGACATAGCGCAGGGGTCAAATTATCAAAAAAGTTATCGTCTAACAAGGGCCACATAATTTACTCCTGTAGACCAGATGTGGCCTGTGGGCCATTTGTTAAACACATCTGGCCTAAACGAAAATCAATTTTACTTTTCAAATGATTTATATGTTTTGCACCCTATGGATTTTAAGCAAATTTTAGCCTATAGCAGAAGCTTTGATTTAAGGGGGAAAGCTTTTTGTTATTCTTCAAGATTTGTTAATTATAAAAAGTGAATTTCAATTCTGTTTTACAATGTGGGTAAGTTTTGCAAAAAGGAAAAATTTATGTGAACAGCAGGCCAAGCTGGGACATACATAAAGCCACAATACCCTTGCATGCCACATTTTATAGCAATGACAAGGCACCCTTTCATAGAAAAAATTAAATCAATTCACCATTAAAACTTACAGAAAATTTTTAAAGAATTGCTTTAATCATCAGAATCAGCAACAAAAATAAATGTTAGTTTTTGTTCCTCAACTTCATTATCACCACAGAATTTATTGGCCTCTCTCATATTTTTAGGTGGTTCTTGCATTTAAAAAAAATAAACTTAGCTGCACTTTTGAGCCTATTCTTTGGAGCATAAGTTTTTCAGTAACATTTATCCTCAAAATCTTTTTAAATTTATGTGGAATTATTTATCCAGGTATAAAAAATGCAAAGTCCCTTTTTGCAAAGAGAAAAAGGCATAGAGTGATAATGTCAAGTGAAAAGACTTGAATGGGATAACAAGCATAAATTTTACAGGATTTATATTCCAAGCATCATTGCCTAACAAGTCCTGTAACTGTGATTGATAGCCCTCTCCTCGCAGGCAAAATTCAAGCCAAACAATTCTTTTTGGAACCTTAAGTGTTTCGTTTTTTGAAAGTCGAAGCCCACATCAAAATTCCTAGTCAAAAAAGTCACTGGAGCTGGTTTTCAAGTAGAGCAAGTATAGCTGTAAATAATATTTAATCATTATTGGTTTCATGTATGCAGTCAATTCCATTCATTTACTACTGTCTGTGTGAATGGATGTAAACAATCCCCACCTTGAGCATTAATCAAAATAAGATGGTTTCTTAAAAGTGGAAGAGCAAATGCTCTGCAGTTTACAAGTCCCTTATTTTATAAAACCATAACATAATGTTTAATAACTTGTAGATTACATTTTAAGCTGTTATAGAAACCAACAATTCTTAAAGAACTTGCCATATGGTGGCTTGTTTCCTCCTCCATGTGGTAAGCAGGCTGGAAATTTGTTGGCCTTGAGATTGGGTTTAAAGAAGACAACTTTGGTCGATCATTTTCTGCAGCAGGTTTTGATGAAAGTGCAGCCTTCCTCCTGGCTTCAAATCGGCTGTACTCACTCACTTCCTCTGCTGTATCATCTTCTCCTTTTTTTGCTGTAATCAATAATGAACTACCAGATTGTAAAGTCTCCCTGTGTTTCAGTCTGTCAGCATTTGTTTGCAGGGTTGTCACTTTCAAAGATGTGCCTGTAAAGGAGGCTCTCCGTTCATCTTCTGCTTGGACTTTTGAAATTATTTTTATTTGATCACCAATGACAGACATTGCTCTTTTCTTGGCTAATGTTGCATCCCTCATTTGTTCTCTTGCTTCTGCTAATATGGCCTATAAGAATTATAATTTTCATAAGCAGAAAAATAGAAGCCTGTTTTATTGGGTCTGACATATTCTTGAAACAAATAGGAAAATAAATGTCAAATTCAAGGGCATGACAGCAACATGAAAGATCTAATACCCAAAGTATTTGAAAAACACAACCTGAAGTCTTCTCTTCTTTTGGAAGTTGGTTCAATGTTGAGACCTTGATGCCTTTGATAACTTTATTTTTCCTTTAATTGCTAAACATTTAGGCTTTATAGATGTTTTTTGTTGCCTTACTAGAAAAGCTATATCTATATAGCAGAATTTCAATTTAGTCACCACCAGGGGCTGCTTGCAAGTAGTTTCAGTTGTATTTAGCTCAAATACAGATATGCATACCATGGGAGTGACATGTGAGTAGATTGGGGATAAGTATATCAAAACAACAAAATCAACCAAATTAATAAAGAGTTAGTCCATTTCTTTCAAGTTTTCATGCAGTCTTTGTCATAATGAAATGACTATGCGTGTGGTAAACCACACGCATTATTTCTTTCATGTGTGCGATTCACACTCTTAACGTATCTGGCTATTTCAGACCACACTTACATTGTCCCATTCAAAAACGGAACCACAACGGTTCAAAAGCGAAATCGTGGCAGTACAAAATTTGTTCGCTTTTGTAGCAGGGTCAAAAACTATTTCGGATAGCAGAGCGAAATTTTCTCATTTACAGAGTGCTAGCATAAACGAAAAGGCGAACCGCAACTGTTTTGTCATGGTTCCAACTTGCACAGATTAGTGTAAACAGGCTATCGAGTTCAGGAGCGTTGTGGCCAATGAATTCTAGGGGGCCAGAGAGAAAAGATTTCCGACAAAATTTCTATGATTTATTTTAACCAAATAGAAGCATTAAGTATAGTGAGGAGGGGGGCAGAAAAATTAATAACTTTTGCCTTTACTGGAAAGATATTTCAAATTCACTTTTATCTTGTCTCTGCTTGATTGCAACCCTATAGATCGGTAGATTAGAACAAGGGTAGAAAAAGTTACTACCTCTGGCGGCACCATGGTTGCCGCGGAATGGTGGAATTTTTATAATCTTAATGCTTCAAGTTTGCCAGAAATTGCATTCTTTGGAGCAAATTTTAATAAAAAATGTTTCTCATTCTTAAAATGTATATCCACTGGCAAAAAGCAATTGTATTGATCAACTTCCTTGTTCTCGTTTTCAAATGTTCAACTGTATGCAACATAACTGCATATGGGACATCTGGGACAAAATTTTCAAATCTTGTATAAAGCACAAAATTGGCACTTTCCCGGTCTTTAAAATCAAATAAAGATATAATTTATGACCAATATTGACCGATTTCCATAACCAATATTGACCGATTGGCCCTTGAAGATTCGGATTTTAAATGAGAAAATCAGAGCAGCAAATCACTCTATAGTAGAAATCGGTAAATCCCGACAACTTTTTTGTTGAAATCTAGTATTTTATTTACAAATCTGAATTGCCCCTCGACGATATGGAAAGTACTTTATTCTAAGTAATTTATGTCGCTAAAGGGTTCATTACACTTCTCCTTTTTACCCACAACTCAAGTTTGAAAATTTTCCCACTTAACAATGATTTTTCCAAAGATCCGCCAAATTTTGAAAAGCAGGGGGTCTCAGCCCCCTCTCCCCGGTAACAACGCCCCTGCTCAAGTTGCTAATAAAGAGGGTGTGAAACCTCAAAAGCAACTGAAATTACAGTGCAACTGTGCTTTTATTTCAGAAAAATCTTTGTCAGAAGATCTGTTAATTCCCCGGCAATTAAAATAAAAATAAAAGCTCTTTTAAGATTTTTGTCGGAAACTGTAAATTTCTCGCCCCTTCTATGAATTTTCCTTTCTACGCCACTGGGTTGATAATAACTTTGACCGTCGGAAGATGCGGGTCTATTCGTCCCCTGCCTGCCGCATCATTGAAAAAAGTCCATCTTCCTTTAAGCAATTTTATTGATATTTACCCCGATCATGGCGAAAGCTGGAAGGGAAAAGTTTAGAACACCACACTACCTGACGCCTGCAACGATTGCCTGGGAATTTGAACAAAGCAAAGCAATAAGCCTCACTTTAGGAAGACAAAATAGGCACTATTCAAAGAGTTAACCGATGTTGCTCAGCTTATGAAAAACAAAACTTCCAATGTACAATTCATGCGAGCGATGAATCGCTCGCATTATTGGTGCCATGCGTGTGCTGATGCGAGCGCATGCGATCGCACACATCAATCAACGAAGACGGTTCCTGTCAGTTAGAACCCAGTTTAACCTTAATACTTAATAGCCGTGTTGGCAACCCTTGGTTGTTGTAAGGTAACAATCATAATTGCTATTCAAGTTTGGAAACCAGCTTTTACTAGATGGATGGTTCTAACCATGAGGTCCAATTACTGGCCCTGCTTGTATACAGCAGCAAGATTGACAAGTAACATTTTATCACAGCGTACTGTATTTTCAACATCCTCCCAAGGCCCCACTTTTCTATCCTATGATCCAACCTTTTCTACCTGCCGCTGTTTTCTACAGACACCCCCTTCATCTGCAAGACAGATGTAATGTCGGCCCACAGGAATTTTGCTGTTGCCAATCACTGACTGTAAAAATGTCTGTCCATTGGTGCCCAGACCATTAGAATTTGGTATATATTGAATGTAATAAAAAAAATTTGAATATAAATTATAGCTATATTAAAATATAATAAAGATCAGCTGACGAGTCACCATAATATACACACATACAGTGTGTGTAAATATAAATTTGATACATATACTTTGAGATATTTAATACCAATGCCACCCATATTCACAACAATATAAAGATGGGCATAGCATAATATCAACAGATACGAAGAATCTACAGAGCCAAACAATCCACTGTTGTGGAGCATCACCTAGTGTGATCACCTGGGTTTTGTATTACACCATATTTTCTGGGTTTTATGAGTGGTGGCCCTTGTTGTTATGCTCTTTTCTCACAAATTGCTTAGCAATATTAACACCAATGACCTTTGAGTTGTGACGTAACTTAGGAAAACTGAATTTTGCCGTCATCAGGCTGTTCCTCAATTTGCCAACTGAATCTAATTTTTACTTTATTTGCCGACTGAGATTTTGGCACAGGGGTGCCGCACCCCCAGCATGCCAAACATGGCTATGGCCCTGATAATCTCCATAAGTGAGCACTGGTCATCCAGGGTGGAATCCATGTGAAGCTCAAGCTGGACATACGCCAATAAACAATAGAAAGACAATGGGAAATCCTTAGGTGCAAGTTACCTGGATTCCACAATGGCTGGTCATCCTGTAAGCTTGTAGCAGACATTTCAAACAGGCAAAGCAGAGCAACACAGAACAGAATCCGTCAGTCAACTTTCTTATATCATCACAGACAGTCCCCAACAGGGTGGCCTCATTAGTTGATTATTATATTGCAAACAGATGGTCAGGAAAATAAAAATATTTTCCTTCCTTTAGGGCTAAAATATTTCATTTCCTGTGAAGGTCTGCAATAATTACAACAATGGAAAAACCTTACTGTTTTCATAGTAGTTTGTCTGTGATTATCTTAGGTACACTCCTGAAACAATTACCAATGAATTACAAATTATGAAAGCAAGCCTTAAGATTTATTTTATTTTGCCTTTATTAAATCATTTCCCCCATATTTACCTTTGAATCAGCTTTTAGGGCTGTTGTTCCTCCCTTATCACCGTGTTTTCGCTTTGATTCAATTCTTCTTCTTGCATCAAATGTTTTTGTAAACAGTTTTAAACTACCATTGTTTGATACACCTTGAGTTTTCTTAGAGTTGTTACTTTTTTGTTGCGGTCTGTTCAAAAAGCGTTGTCGAGAAAGTTGACTATTTCTCGAGGCGTTCTTTTTACCACCAATGGATGCTTGAAACCTCTTCAACTCAGTTCGTTTCTGAGCAAGGCCTTTTTTGCCAGAATTCTGATCTTTTTTTAAAACAACATTTGGCATGTTTTTACGTCTTTTCTGGTTATTCTTGAAACTATTAAAATCATTGGTAGACTTCCGTTTTATTTTGAAATTGTTTCTACCAGCAGCTGATTGATTATTGCGCTTTTGATTTTGTTTGCCAAATCTTTTGCCATCCATTTCCGAGATTTGCAGCAGCAATTTTTCACTTCTTACTGCCTTTTGCTAACCATTTTTGCCACTACAAATTGGTAATACTTCATTTTAGGATACACAAACATGGAATCTTTACTTTTCCAGAAAGAGGCCAAAACATGATGGAACTGGAAATGTGCAGCATGGCGGAAATGTTATGAAGTAATGTCTGCTCAACTTGTGTTCTCTTTGTATCGAAGAATACTGCGAACCGCGAAGATATGGGAATCTTCATCTGGACAGAAAGATGATACAAATACAGAGAGAAACTACATAAAAAATGAAGCTCAGCGACTTTTCCGTAAGAATATGAAGGTGAGTTAATATAAACATTAACTTGGTTTGCTCCAGGTTTTTATTTGTTTGACCCCATTAAGTAGTCTATTTCGTTCTGAGCCCTAATTTTTTGCCGGTTCTTGCTTTATGTATTTTCGTGATCTTTTTTCCAAGCTTCGTACACAAATTGGGAGAGTTTTTATTTTCTGCCAAAGAGACTGGTGACTCTTCTTAGGCCTATTTACTCTTCCTTTTAATTCCTTTCTGCATATTCTCACAAAAAGCATATTATGCTGATCTGTCGCAGTGACCAATGCAGGCTATTTACAAGACAGTTATATTAAACTGGATATTTATTATGGGTCAAATTTACAATCCTTTTCTTGGATATTTAAAATGCAGGAGGTGTTTCCTCTCATAGATCAGTGACCCAGAAGAAATTTACTTAGCACTCAAAGAGGGAGAGACACGACTTGAATTAGGTGCGAAAATTACTATGAATTGAACAAAAGTAGACACAATTAGAGATACTGTTAAATTGAATAATCAAATCAGTTGGAATGGCATTCACTTTGTCCTATTCCAACTACAAGTCTCAATCATTTTCATCATTACAATCGGATTGCTCCTCTTCTCATTAATTGGCGTAGGCTCAATATTGATGTTTAAAGCATTCTAAAAATTTGCATGGTTCAATTTATGAACCAATTGTGTCCATGCACCCATTTGAGATGAAAAGCAACACACCCTTCAATAGAACGCAGCAAACTTTGCAGAGAAAGACAAATTTCCTTGTTTTCAAACATTTTTAACATATTTTGTCTAGCCTATACTATAAACATGTACTAAAAATAAGAGAGTGATTAAACAGAAGACTACAGAATAATATCCATCAAAATAACAATCATAAGACAATTTTATTAGAATATTTTGAAGGTACTAAATTTTTACCAATAAGCACAAGACTTTTCAAGTTCTAATAGATAATTTTTGAAAATTTTTTTCTTTTTGATACTATGCTTTCTAAATTTTGGATTATGACTGTGTAAGGATAACAAAGTTATTCACTCATCTTTTACAGCTCTCCATTACAAAAATCCATACCCAAGACCAGTAAGTAATGCCATTAGTTGTTACAGTGTTTCGTAATGAAATGCTCCATCCTTTTGCATACTTTAGTTGTTTCTAAACAAATTTGAACCCTAGAAAAATTTATTATGGAGCAAATATGCTTTGAAGATAAGACACTAAGCTTTAGAAAATATGATTTTAAATCAACCTGAATCTAAAGTCATATAATCACAAATTAAACAGAATCAATTATGAATATTTTAATTTGTAACTTTTTTGTATGGTCTAGCTTTTTCATTATCAATTTTTTCATTCTGTATTTAAATAACGAAGAAACCAACAAAGTGGGCTACTTTTCCCTACATGGCCTTCTATTCCATTCTTTTAATTTGCAGGTTAATGTTCCTCCATTAGCAACAGCTCAACTTGCAGGCAAGAAGCTTGGGAAAGGCCAACAAAGAAGGCGAAAGATTGCCAAACCTATTTATATAAAATCTTATGAAGAATATGACAAAACTAGTTAAAGTTTTGCCATATTTGCTTTATGAAATTCAATGAGTTCTTCAGGAAAAGTGTGCAGTGACAATATTGTTGCTATAATTTTGAATGTAATGAAATAGACTTTTGTTTATTACTTTGAGAAATGATGAAAATCTGTCCAAATTTTTATAACTAAATTAAGTTAGAGAATCTACATTTTTGAGCAATATTATTTGCACCTGCTTTATCTTGTGACAGAAAAATCTTAGCTAAGCTAAGTTACAGCAAAGCAATGTTTATTTTAGATATTGATTGAGAATTAAATTCATTTTATCAGTTTCGTACATTTTCCAATCAAAATTCAAACTTTGAAAAGAATCAGAATAGGCCTAATTCTGACACATGAAATTTTTTATAGCCATCTGCTCTTTAGTCATCATTTATGTAAATTTATTCCTAATCTCATTCTTGTTTTTTAGTGAAGATTAATACAGCTTTTTTGAGTCAGATACAATATTTATCTGATTATAAGATGCCCTTGATTATAAACCACAGCAATTGAGGTTTTGCCACCCTTGATAATAAACTGCATCCACAATGCAGGGATTTAATTTGATATAACTGGTGCAAACACAGATAAAAACCTGATTGTGTACTTAAACCTTACCACCTGGTACATGTTCAAAAACTACTTAAATGTAAAAACAGACATCAGAAGTTCAACCAATAACAATTTCATCCAACATGGGATCATCAACATCATGCAAATTTGCATCATCACCCTCAGCTAAAAGGTAGCAGGAAAGCTTGACAGGATCTGGAGAACAATGTAAGCCAACCTTTTTACAAGCCACCCTACATTACAAACTACTCTGAAACATGCCAAATAATTAATCTAAGCTGCAGCGTTTAATCAAATCAAGGCATTATGCAAGGAAATATTGGCTTTATGCAGTACCATTTGGTGTGGAAACTAGGTGCCAGAGGTCTTCAATCTCAAGCAAAGATAAGAAAA